TTTTATTGTCATTATGTATGTATGTATGTATGGATGGATGGATGTATGGATGTATGGATGGATGGATGGATGGAACAAACAAAAAAAGAACTCTATATAAAAGGATGAAATTAAATAATAAGCACAGTGTATATTGCACAGAGTGGATACTGGACAGAGGTATTGGAGTTGTATAGTTACAATATATTTCACTTATTGCGACAGGGAGGCATTTATGACTCTGACAGCAGTTGGAAAACAGTGTTTTTTTCAGTCTGTTAGTCTTGGTTCTGATGGCCCTGTACCGTCTGCCCGACGGCAGTAGCTTAAACAGGAAGTAGCCCGGGTGGTAAGAGGCCTTCAGGATGGTGTTGGCTCTCCTGAGGCAGGAAGAGCCATGGAGGTATCAATTAGGAAATGTCCAGCAAGCCACATGTCTTGCCTGTGACAAGATGGGAGGTGCAACCAAATGAGAAAGTTGGTCGAACTGGTGCTACCAGTGAAAAAGTTCATCCGGAGTCCTGCTTTAAAAGGGTTTCTAAATGTCCACTTGATGGTTACACGCATGATAACAGGCTAAACCAGGGGATCTCCAACTCTGGTCCTCGTGAGCTACAGTCCTGCAGGTTTTCCGTACTGCAACACACCCGACTCAAATGAATGGATCATTAACAGACTTGTGTAGAACTTGACAACCAGCTGCTGGAGATCCATTAATCTGAGTCAGGTGTGTTGCAGTACGGAAAACCTGCAGGACAGTAGCTCACGAGGACCGGAGCTGGAGATCTCTGGGCTAAAGTCTGATAAGTTAAAATTGTTTTCACTTTTAAAATGACAAGATAAAAGGTTTGTCATATGAGTTGCTGGATTTTCAGCTTTCTAACAGTCCTTGAACTACTCATCTGTGGCGTGCTTGAAATTCTGTTGTGTCAAAATCCATTTACTCTACACGTGATTTTAAAAAAATACCAAAAAACAAATTGAGTGTTTTAACCAGAATCTGTTATTAAAAAAAATGAAATTCTACAAAGCTATTAGTCAGCTGAGATAAGTATGGAAACCTTTAATATGTAAGTACTAAAATAGCTAAAGTACTTCTTTTGTTTACAACATTGGTAACACCTCTGGAAAAATGTTGTACATGTAGAATCCAGGAATATCCATTACTGTAAAAGAAATAACCAAGGATTTTCATTTTTCCTTTTATATATACAGTTCATGGCATCGTGAGTTTGTTATAACGCATGACAAACATTTCTCTCCTAGTTCGAGCCATGGTTTTGGTGTTTCCATAGAGATGCTGTAATGTAAATTGTACAGTAAGTAAAAATGTGGCAGAACAAAACTGCTTGGGTTCATGAAGGTTACTGGGTCGATTCCTGACATTTGTTTGTTTTCTGTTGTGGTTATGAAAAGGGTAAAAACACACCATCATATAAGCTATGTACACCCAAATCAAGTCAATTGTGTTGTAACATCCAACATGTCTGGCGTCTTCAAAACTATTTGTCCTTGAGCAGGATGCAGAATCTCAAACTTCCCCTAAATCCCCGCGGATTACTGCGGCGGCTAAATGGCTCAAACGCATCGTGTTCCATCCGGGGTGTACATTCAAACGGTTTACACTCAAAAAAAAAGGGCCTCTCAGATATCTTCCTCTGCAACTTTTCAAACGGACATAAAAGCAGACATGATGCAGACGCTGTAAAGCCCATTCCCCTACCGCCCAAGACACTGCGCTATCAAAGCCTGCAAAGTGGAAACACAAGAAATACCAAAGGATTGTAAACACACAAGTACACACAGACACACATCACAGGTCCAAAAAAGCAGAACTCGCTGTGGTAGCTCTTCAATACGAGCCAGAGAAAGAAAAAAAACAAAAAGAGAGCCGATATAAAAACTCGGGGTGGACCTGCGAATTTTCGAAAACGCAACAAGCCTTCTTTTTTTTTCTTTTCCCTTTTGTTCGAGAAAGAAGTTTTTTTTTTTGAAAAGTAAACGCACTTCAAATCAAAATCAGCCATCAACTCATCATCGGAAAAACAAAACACAAAAAGCAGCGCTGTGACAGAATGACAGATAGATTTCTGAAATACGGAAAGTGACAAAGCAAAGCTCTCGGAACAACAATGAACATCTGTGCGGTCACAGAGGGCCATCACACCCCCCCTCCGCTTTTATTCAGGAAATGTATTTTTGGATCCGAATTTTGAGCAAACAACAGCATTGGAGGACCTCGTGAGTGATCTCCAAACGCAGGACTTGATGTCTCTGTTTCTAAGAGGTTCTAATGAATTTTATTCAAACATTCGGAGTAGCGGAGACAAGCCTTTACTTGGCGTAATTACTTTTCTCTTTGCTTTTATTATCCATTATTATGCTTATTATGTGCCAGTTCTTCGCTAAAAGAGGAAGGGAAAAAAAAAAAAAAATTGGTCACACACAAATCATGTCACCGAAATTAATTGAACGATTTGCCGCGTAGGCTAAAGAAGCATGAGAAAATATTTGTAGGAGGTTAACAAATTACACCGCTGAAGCGTGCCAATTTAAGAATAAAGGGAATAATTGTTTTTGTGATACTTTATTGATCTCCTTGATGGGAAAAACGTTTTTTTCGCTTTCTTCTCGTGAGGAACAGGCCCCGCAGCTGGTTGGGCGGGTGGTTTTTTTTCTCGGAATGAACAGAAATCCATCAAAGAACACAGGTGGAGGTGAAGCGACTCGCTGACGTCTCATCAACTCGACGACCAACCGGGAGTCGCTCATGCCTGCCACCGTGGGCGCATCCCGATCGAGTAAAATGTTGGAAATCAACTCACTCCGTACAAACACAGGCACTGAAAGATAATCAGACAGCCTTGGCGATTCAAAAACATTTTAACTTTTAAAAAAAGAAAGCAAAAAGGCCGACAGACTTGTCCAATTAAGCGGTACTAAATGATGTTTGCCTTTTCTCATCTAAATATATAAACAAAAACAGTCAAGAGGAGTGAAGAAGTCGAGTCATATTTTTTTTTAGTTTAAAGCAATTAAAGTCTAGAGGAGGTAAAGTGTTTAACAAATACCTTAAATTAACAGCATTGGTAATTACCAAAATCATTTTGTTAGATTTCTGTAGTGGTGAATACACCAGTATGTTGAAGCTCTTTAAACAAAACGATATTTTTAATGCTAAAATATTGTTATCTATGACTTTTTAAATTTACTGTTTTACCAAAAAGAAAAAAGCAAATTCTTATTTCTTGATTAAGATATCAGATTATAGTTATTTACTTGCATTCCTGAGCGGAAAAAAAACAAGTTTTAGTGGTTGAATGTTATGCTTGATTCATTTCTGACTTCTCAGAGAAGCCCAGTGAACGGCTCAAATTTGGGTATAAAAGGTTGAAGTCAGTTTGGAATTCGTTATTTCTGTTCAAAATGGTAAAACGTCGAGAACGGAGTGTGAATTAAAGAACTTCATGATGCTGGATGGTCTATATATACACGCACAGGGCTTAACCAGTTTGACAGGTGGTCTAATAAATTTGTTAAAAGATATATTGATTTTGATATGGCGTATAGGAGTATACCTGTATTTATACCAGTTGGCCAATCACACAAAGCCCCAACTAGCCATCATCAAATTAGTTGGTGTCAATTCAGTGGCAAATGCGAGGTTCACCAACATGATAATGGAGGAAGTGGAAAATATCAAAAGTTGTTTTTGTTGTGTCACTGGTAGGTTTCCAGAAACTAACTTCCCCATTCAGACAAAGTCAAGGTCACAATCAGCTTATCGCAAACACTTAAAGCCCCAACTACCCATCATCTACCCCAAAATTAGTTGGTGTCAATTTAGTCACGACTGCGAGGTTCGCCAATGTGATGATTGAGGAAGTGGAAAATATCAAAGGTTGTTTTTGTTGTGTCACTGGTAGGTTTCCAGATACTAACTTCCCTGTTTAGACAAAGTCAAGGTCACAATCAGCTTATCACAAACACATGCAGCCCCAACTAGCCATCATCTACCCCAAAATTAGTTGGTGTCAATTTAGTCATGACTGCGAGCTTCGCCAACGTGATGATTGAGGAAGACGAAAATATCAAAGGTTGTTTTTGTCGCATCATTGGTAGGTTTCCAGATACTAACTTCCCTGTTTAGACAAAGTCAAGGTCACAATCAGCTTATCGCAAACACTATAAAGCCCAAACTTGCCATCATCTACCCCGAAATTAGTTGGTGTCAATTTAGTCACGACTGCGAGGTTCGCCAACATGATGATTGAGAAAGTGGAAAATATCAAAGGTTGTTTCTGTTGCGTCATTGGTAGGCTTCCAGAAACTAACTTCCCCGTTTAGACAAATTCGAGGTCACAATCAGCTTATCGCAAACACACAAAGGCCCGACAAAAAAAAAAAAACATTCACCAGAGTCTTCGTGGGGAAAAAAAAAAAAAAACTACCATGAGCTCTACTTTCATTTTCTTTCCTCTCTAGTTTGACAGACTGAGCTTGAGTCGCGTTACCCTCGGCGCGACCTCCTCGTGTGTCCTCAACACAC